ATGGGTAAGACACAGATCTGCGTCACCTCCTTACCTGTGCCCCTTGGTGCCCCTCAGCTCAGGAACGAGGTTACCAGTCACTCACTTGTCCGGGCTGAAAACAGTAGCCATGTCCTTGACTTCCTTATATTCTACTGACAACATGCCCCTGGCTGGATAGCAGAATATCTCTTCACGATCATCATGACTGCTGAAATGAAAGCCATTGTCACCTTGTGCCAGGCTTAGCTCAACAATGGTGTCTGTCTCTACTCATGGCCCCTATCCACATCCCCACATAGTGGTACTTCTAAGTTTTTAATCATACTGTTCCATTCTCTTTACCAAACACACTTTGTCCCATTTGGGAGGTGATCCTAACACCCCCCCCCCCGCAGGACTTTGAACATAACTCAGGAGGAAGTCCTTGTCTACTTTCTGCCCTCTGCTCTGACCACACAGGCCTTTCTACTACTCTGTTAATGCAGTCAGAGCCTCCCCTGCCCTGTGGCTCCCTTCTGTTCTGTGGCTACACTGCTCATCACAGCCATTCTCGTGGTCACCTCTCACATTCCCCTAAGGTCACAGAGGTCACCTGATTATACGTCCTTCCTGTTAGCTTCCTACCTATCTACAACATTTTCAAGCAAGTAAAGTTGCATGTTCCATTGTGCGCCAATGTACATTTGTGTCGCACACTGTTGTTTTCTTTACATTTATTTCTTCATTGGGTGGCAGGAGGTCCACATCCTGGAGGTGAAAGGACAGCTCACAGGAGTGGATTCTTCTCCACAAGGCTATGGGGATCAAGCTCAGGGCATCAGGTCACTTCATTGGCCTCCTCTTTTTTTTATTAATTTTATTTTTTTCTTATCAGTTACATTTTATTAACTCTGTATCCCAGCAGTATCCCGCTCCCTCATTCCCTCCCAATCCCACCCTTCCTTCCTCATCTCCACCGTGCCCCTTTCCAAGTCCACTGATAGGGGGGACCTCTTCCCCATTCATCCGATCCTGTTTTATAAAATATCTTCAGGACTGGCTGCAAAGCCCTCCTCTGTGGCCTAACAGGACTGCTCCTCCCTTGGCGGTTGGGGAGGTCAAAAAGCCAGTCATTGAGTTCCTGTTAGAAATAGTCCTTGTTCCCCTCACTATGGGAAACCAATTGGTTACTGAGCTACCACAGTCTACATCTGAGCAGAGGTTCTTGGTTATATCCATACATGGTCCTTGGTTGAATGTCAGTCTCAGAAAAGACCCTGTGCCCAGATATATTTGGTCCTTGTGGGGCTCCTATCCTTTCCTCATCAGACTAACTCCCTTTCTTTCTTATGATTCCCTGTACTCTGCCGAAGGTTTGGTCATGAGTCTTTGTATCTGCTTTGAAAACACTGCTAGTTAGAGTCTTTCAGATGCGATCAGTAGACTCCTGTCATACATTCAATGCACATCCCGTCTGTTTTTCAAAATGAGGATTGATCATCTTACCCCATGTCCACTCTCTTGATTATCTTTTTTAGGTATATAGATTTCATTATGTTTATCATATCTTATAGGTCAATATAAGTGAGTATATACCATGTTTGTCTTTCTCCTTCTGGGATATTTCACTCAGAATGATCTTTTCTAGATCCCACCATTTGCCTGCAAATTTCATGATTTCCTCCTTTTTGATTGCTGAGTAGTATTCCATTGTGTAAAAATACCACAATTTCTGTACCCATTCCTCCGTTGATGGACATCTGGGTTGTTTCCAGGTTCTGGCTATTACAAATAAAGCTGCTATGAACATGGTTGAGCAAGTATCCCTTTTGTGTACCTGAGCAAAGTTTGGGTATATACCTAGCAGTGGTATAGCTGGGTCTTGAGGAAGCACTATTTCTAATTGTCTGAGAAAGCACCAGATAGATTTCCAGAGTGGTTGTACCAGTTTACATTTCCACCAGCAGTGGAGGAGGGTTCCCCTTTCTCCACAACCTCTCCAGCATGTGTTGTCCCTTGAGTTTTTCATCTTGGCCATTCTGATGGGTGTAAGGTGAAATCTCAGGGTCGTTTTGATTTGCATTTCCCTGATGGCCAATGAGGTTGAGCATTTCTTTAAGTGTTTCTCTGCCATTCGATATTCCTCTGTCAAGAATTCTCTGTTTAACTCTGTTTCCCATTTTTTAATTGGATTACTTGGTTTGCTGCTTTTCAGCTTCTTTAGTTCTTTGTATATACTGGATATGAGTCCTCTGTCAGATAAAGGGTTAGTGAAGATTCTTTCCCAATCTGTAGGCAGTCGTTTTGTTTTGATGATGGTGTCCTTTCCTTTACAGAAGCTTTTCAGTTTCATGAGGTCCCATTTATTGATTGTTGCTCTTAGAGCCTGTGCTGTTGGTGTTCTGTTCAGGAAGTTGTCTCCTGTGCCAATGAGTTCTAGGCTGTTCCCTACTTTTTCTTCTAACAGATTTAGAGTATCTGGTTTTATATTGAGGTCTTTGATCCACTTGGACTTTAGTTTTGTGCAGGGTGATAAATATGGATCTATTTTCATTTTCTGCATGTAGACATCCAGTTGGACCAGCACCATTTGTTGAAGATGCTGTCTTTTTTCCATTGAATGGTTTTGGCTTCTTTATCAAAAATCGAGTATTCATAGGTGTGTGGGTTTATTTCTGGGTTTTCTATGCGGTTCCAATGATCCTCCTTTCTGTTTTTATGCCAATACCATGCAGTTTTTATTACTATTGCTCTGTAGTACAACTTGAGATTGGAGATGGAGATACCTCCAGATGATCTGTTGTTGTACAGGATTGTTTTGGAGATTCTGGGTTTTTTGTTTCTCCATATGAAGCTGAGAATATTTTTTTCAAGGTCTGTAAAGAATTGAGTTGGTATTTTGATGGGAATTGCATTGAATCTGTAGATTGCTTTTGGCAGGATGGCCATTTTCATAATGTTAATCCTACCAATCCATGAGCACGGGAGATCTTTCCATCTTCTGATATCTTCTTCAATTTCTTTCTTCAGAGACTTGAAGTTTTTCTCAAACAGATCTTTCACTTGCTTGGTTAGTGTCACCCCAAGGTACTTTATGTTATTAGTGGCTATTGTGAAGGGTGTTGTTTCCCTAATTTCTTTCTCAGCCCTTTTGTCTTTGGTATACAGGAGGGCTTGGAGAGATCAGAGGTACAAGGCACATATCTAAACATAGTAAAGGCAATATACAGCAAGCCTAGAGCCAACATCAAACTCAATGGAGAGAAACTTAAATCAATCCCACTGAAATCAGGGACAAGACAAGGCTGCCCACTCTCTCCATACCTCTTCAACATAGTACTTGAAGTCCTAGCCAGAGCAATAAGACAACTAAAGGAGATCAAGGGGATACAAATCGGAAAGGAAGAGGTCAAAGTGTCACTATTTGCAGATGATATGATAGTATATATGAGCGACCCCAAAAATTCAACCAGAGAACTCCTCCAGCTGATAAACACCTTCAGCAAAGTGACAGGATACAAAATCAACTCAAAAAAATCAGGAGCCCTCCTGTATACCAAAGACAAAATGGCCTCCTCTTTTATAGGCTTTCTTTTTAGGGTTCAATTCTCCATCTAGTATCCCTTCCTACATCTTTTATTACCTAATCCCTCCACTTAGACATAAGCTCCATAGAGGTGGTGCCTGTTCCACTCGGAGCTGCTTTGCCTCCATGGGAAGAACACTACTTAACACAGAGAAGAGCCTCCATAAATGTGTATTGAACAAGTGAATGAATTATTGATGAACCCAAAGCCCTTACTGAAGATTGATGAAACATGTAATCTAATTCTTCCCGTCTCCTCACTGCCCATTCATTAGTCTCATGTTCTCAGGCAGGGACTTCCACGCTGCAAAGCACATAAAATCTACATATTTTACAAAGAGAAAAAAAAAAACATACATATATATGTGTATGTGTGTTGAAAGTGCACCCTGATACTTTATTTGTTTTCATTATAGTAATAACATTATTATATTACTACAGTGTTAGTAAATAACATTAAATAATATGAATTAGTAAATAATATGGCAGTGATTAAATTATGTTAAGGGAAGTTTAGCTCAAATGTAGTGATGACAGTGATGATGATTCCTAGAACCCAAAGTAAGGTGCTTTGTTGATATGTACTATGATTTTGGTACCTGTTGAGAAGAAATATCCCTGAATTGAAGATAAGAAAACATAGGCTCATCGTCATTGGATGAGCTTCCTTAAGCCTAGAGCCTTGTTTAATCTGCTTTTCAGTTTCTGACAAGTTTTGCAGCAAATGATATGATTGATTCGTGCAAATTCTCGTTGTTGGGAAAATTATGTAAGCATAATAGTCCTGTCGATTTTTTTAATAGAAAAGGCCTTATTTTTACTCACTGCTGTGCCTCACAGGAACCTTCCAGTGAATTCTCTTGACTGGTGATAGTTAGCCATGTTTAAGCAAGGACAGGGCAGTGTGAAAGGCTTGCCGACTGTGAAAACACAATAAGGAAAGAGTTTAGTTTTCGTACTTTCGTGGGAAAACTCAAGACCTGGAGTGTGTCAGTCATCATTACAGAGAAGCACATTAGCAAACTCCTCATCCTTCAGAAGGGAAGGTACACTTAAGGGGACCACAGGTGACATGAGCAGGATTGTGTCCCAGCTGGCTTCAACATCCAGTCTGGTTAGAAAAGGGTTAAATTAAAGGCACTCCCAAGCTTGCTGCACCAAATTTCCTCTCTGCTCTCAATATAAACAGAAGTACATCTGCGGATGGGCTCTTCTTCTTTCATCCTGAAGCTCTCAGGCTGGCTTTTTACACCTGAAGTGCTGATGTCATGGTGGAGATGAACAGGGAGGAAGTACAACGCTTCAGGAACGAAAATGTTAAATTAAATGGACCGTGTTTAGCGTCGCTGTTGATCCTGAGGAACAGTTTTCCAGTGTGCGGAACATTTCCACTCCACCCAGCATATGTCCCCCACAGTTTTCTCTGCTCTAATTCATCTGTGTTTCCCGACAGCTCCAGATGGCCTGCTGTCTCCCAGGCTTGCATCTGCCACTCCAACCAGTCTTCAGGTTGTCTGGTCTACACCAGCTCGCAACAACGCTCCGGGCACTCCCAGATACCAGCTCCAGATGAGGCCTGGCCTCGCCACCCACGGCCTTCTAGAGTGAGCATTCTAGTTAGTGCCTCTTTGTTTGGGCTGTCTTATACAATGTCCACGTTTTTAAAATGTCCTCACAAAAATGAGAGCTAAAGAATAGGTCGGGTATTATTTGTTATAATTTGGGTTTCTTTTAAAAGTTCAAACAGAGTAAAACATGAACAAATGATTTAGTGGGTATAAATTTGCTTTGCAAAAAAAATGTTTGTTTTTATAGCATGGAAGGCAAAAATTTCTTACATTCTTAAGCTTTACATCAATACAAGTGTCACACACTGGAATAGACCTGAAACTTGTAAAGTGGGCCAAACTGTGAAGAACTTGGACTGCCCTACAATGTCCTCAGAGTACACATTGTCCTTGCAACCAGAATTTATGTCTTCAGTAACATAGGAGAACAAGTTCTCTCCCAACGCCTGTTTATTCTGATGTAGCTATAATGTGATGGCCTAAAATAATAGCACTTAAATCCACGTTGGTATGCCTGAATACTGATTTTTTTATCTCTTTGTTTTATTTATTTCAATGTCGAAACCCTCCTAATGGTCCTTTCTTTCCCACATAGATTATTTCCTGATCCTTCTCCATCATTAAGCTATGAAGTGAGAGGCCTCCAGCCGTTCACGGTGTATGAGTTTCGGTCGGTTGCCACCAATGGCTTTGGCAGTGCTTACAGTGCTTGGACTCCACTCACGACTGCAGAGGACAGTAAGTCTGCCAACTACACAAAGTGAAACATCACCCACAGAAGGAGTCTTTAGCTGCCTTGTGGTTTGAAAAACAAGGAAGTAAACCCCTCCAAATGTCTTGTTATAGAATGGCAATGTCTCCACCAGGGTAAGAGAGAGGAGTGGTGGTCAGTCCCTATCGAAGAAAGAAAAGTGGGGACCCGGAAGGATGGAGGTTTGCACCCATAGACAGAACGAAGGAAATATCACAGTCAATTATAGTATGGCAGTAGTCTGTCATTCAGGATATAGAAGAAAAAAAGAAAGGCTGTGGTCTTCTGCACCTCCGCCAAGTGTGACATGCCGTGGAGAGCTTCCGGAGGACAGGCAGAGATAAAATGTGGGGTTGCATCCTGAGAGCAGTAGGAGACCCATACACTCAGTACTGGAAGTGGGCACCATCCTAATTTGACATAGGCACCAAATACAGCCTCCAGGGTAGACAGGAAGAGCTTGAGGATTGGTGGGCAACAGAGGCTAACGTCTGCCTTGTTCAACTAACAAAGAATTCTTTGTCATTGTTGTTTTCTCATTGAAAATGAAATTAGGATTAGTTACATTTAGGAAATGAACACATGGATATAATGTTTGGTTTTACATTAACTACATCTACAAATGCAAATATATTAAGACAGGTATTTTGTTGTTTTTAGTAAAGTTGGAAACAAAATCAAACTACTCAGTGAAGGAAGACACTATTTTGAAAAAAATGAGGTTTGGAGGTTAACCCTGTCAAGTCTTTAATCACAGGCTTCTCAGCTGTTGCTCAGTGCACATTTGCCATTCTGGTTTTATAGCCAACAAGAGCAGGACTGACCTTCGGAAAAGCTAGACACCAATACAAAGGTATACTAATAGTTAAAACGAAACAAGTTTTGTATTAAGTAGATTATTTTTGTAACATCCGTAATGACTTTAAGTACTTAGTGATAAGACATAAAATGTGTCTGAATGAAAAGAATGTTTCCTCTTTAAAGTTTACAGTATTTTTTAAATGTTGACATGAACAATAGCAACACTTTCTCCATTGCTTCCAATACTTAATTACTCCCAGGATCAAGTTAGACAATTTATAAGGGTTTGTCAAATGTTTCCCATCCCAGGATGCCACTCCAAATATTACAGGTGCAGATGGGAAATAATGTCCAAAATTCAGGAACCATTGATGTGCAACCTTTAGGTAGAGTATGGCTTGGGAAATCAGACTCCCTGGTCACCATGGTCACTGTGGTGTTCGATCGAGTTTATGGGCTGGAAAGCTCACATTCAAAATAGATTTTTTTTTTTTTGGAGAGACATTTTTAAAAATGAAGATAGATGTCTAATCTCCTTTTTAAAAAAAATAGCATGCTTGATGGCACTCAATAAAAATAAGCTAAAAATAACTGTCCAATCCAGTGCTGAGGTGATGGCTCAATTGAGTACCAAGTAGGTAGAAGGGAGAAGAAATTTCCTTTTTTTTTTTTTTTTTTGGTGTCTCCTTGGCAGCAATGTGGTCACAGTCCTTCCTGAATGGTGGTTATGCTGTGCTGTCCACAGGTAGGAGAGTACTATAAAAAACAGTCAAAATGCTGCATGTGGCCCTCTTATTATGTTGCTTTTCTTATAGACAGATGTGGTTAGAGTTTTTGATGCAGAGCCTCCGCCATCTTGCTAACATGTAGGGCGAATGCCTCAGTCTTCACTCTCCTTAAGAACAAGTAATATCTGATTATCTAACAGTTATCAACTCAAAAGACCAACCATACTTTCTGTTTAAGCCCTTGCCATGAGATGAATGAGATGTCCCTTCCCTCGCTTGGCACACACTAAGCCACACACATTAGCAAAGAGTGGAAGGTGGCCACATGGACCTTCCTAGTACGTGTTTCCAGTATACACTCCGCCCTGGGGCATGGTGACAGTATACAATATATTTTGGCTGCCAGTAGAGACGGATGCCATCTCTCAAAGGCTGTGCAATTGAGTTGACAAAGGCTGAGTGATTGGCACGGGGCATGAGGAGTTTTTCTGTCAGGGCTACAGCGCGTGGCTTATAAAGCTGCCAATGCTGACAGAGCCATGCCAGAGTCGCACTTCAACCCCGGTAGTTATCACTGGAGAATTTTCCCATGTCGCCTTACAGGATGAAACAGAGAAGTCATGTCGAATTCCCTGCCATCACCAGGAGCCTCTTTCCTCAGTCAGACAGGAAACTACTCGTTGTATGATTGGGACACCCATGGCCGTGTTTTTCACCTGGCATTTTGAGGCAGTGATATCCATCAAAACTGGCTGGGCTATGAAAACCAGAAAGAAAGAGAGACAGAGACAGAGAGAGAGGGAGAGGAAACAGGCATAAGTGAGCTTCAACCAGAGAAGCCAGTTCTAGGGTGTAAAGAGACGTTCTCCTGTAGAAAAGCTGCATAAATGTCTACACGTTTTAATGCATTCTTTCAAATTATTTGTCATTTACATCAGTGTGGCACCAATATCCAGTTCTATGCATTTTTTTAAAAATCGAGGGTGAAGATGCCAAGCAAAAACAATGCACCCCTCCTATGAATAGTTTAAATCCTGTTAAACATGTGTCAATAAAAGATGTTTGTTACAGCCAACTTAGTCACTGTGGCACTCAAGCAGTGGCAGCCCAATAAACACAAACAGCATTTGGATTTTTTTTGATGTCCTCGTGGTAGCAAGCAGACAGGTCCAGAGCCTGCAAAACCATGTAGTGGTTACAGCAGACTCGGATGATGATACTTAGCATGGTCAGTGGCACGAAGCCACCTAGCAGCTGAGAACATTTTCTAGTGTGTGTGTTGCAGACGTGGTGGCCGGGTGCCTCCGCCTGTCCCTGCCTCCCTGGAACTGGGATTATAGGCACCAGGCATCACATCTAGATTGTGTTAAGGTGGGATCTGAGGACCGATCTCGGGTCCTTGTGCTTACTAAGTCGACTATCCCTCCAACCCAAAATGGTGACATCTCCTAAGCCTTGTACAACGCAGCCTCCTGAGTCCACGGCTGTTCTACAGATCCTGCACATTGACTGCTGTCTGTGTACAGTATACGAATGTGAAAATTGTAGTTAGGGGCAGGGCTCCGTGAACTTCAGTTTACATATGCTAATAGATGGGCTCCTCCCACTAAAATCCAGCCCCATGGCAAATCTACGTTCTTTGCCTTAGAGAAACTCTAGACCAGGAAGAGTCAGATGATCTGTTTTTAATAAAGGTTTTTCCAGGTAAGGAGACTGAAACATTTATATTTAGATTGAAATGTTTAGGTGGGTTTTAAAGTCAGTTTGTCAAAATTGCATTCATACACAAGCAATGAATGGTCAACTAATGAAACTGAAATTGCTAAAAAGTTCCTAAAAGCCATGGCTGACCTCAAAACAAAACCCCAAACAAATGATTTAATGATCAGATATTATAAGAATTTGACCATTTCCCCAAACTTGAGATTTCAAACTTACATAACTTTAAAGATTCATTTCTAATTATGCATGCATGTGTAGGGGAATATTTGCAAGTGAGGACACATGCCACATGGCACAGCATCTCTCCTGGAGCTGGCGTTACAAGCAGCTAGAAACCAACCAATATGAGTACTGGGAACTGAACTGAAGTTCACTGAACGAATAGCCTGTAGGTACCCTTAGTGGCTGAGCCGTCTCTTCAGACCCTCACAACAGACATTTATATTTTTAAGCATAAATCTAAGAGCTATTATTAAATAACACTTTGGAATCCGAACAGTTCATTCTGAGGATTCACACAGATTTTTTTTTCTATTTGTTATCTTGCTTTAGATAATTATTCATGAACTTGTCTTCAGTGGGATACATATACTATGATATTTAGGAGCTATTAGCATACTTTGGTGATAATTTAATCAAACCTAGGATTTTTTTTTTGTACTTTTATAATTGTATGAACAGGGTATTTTAGTTTCCCTCTTTTTCTCTGATGAAGATAATGACCAAAAGCAACTTAGGTAAGGGAAAGTTTTATTTATCTTACACTTCTGGGCCACAGTCCATTGTTGGGCGAATGTGGGGCAGGAACTCTAACTCCAGTGTAACTATAACTCCCTGTAAAATCAAAGAGGAGACCACGTACGTGCAACATACAGTGGCACAAAAGATGCACTACTATTCCAAGAGGGGGAAAAGGAACATAATGAGGAAACACTGGTCCAAAGCAACACTGAAAACTAGGAAGCAAACTCCAAACTCTGCATCTCCATGTCTGGTGTCAAAGCGCTCTTCGGATCTCTGATTCCTTTCAGCTTTGTTGACTGCAGCACACTTCTCTCCTTTGGACTGGTTCTACTCCCTGTCAGCACTTCTTTTTTTCCCTTTTAACACCCTTCTTCCTAGGTATCCCTTGACTCTGGCATCTCCAGTATCTTGGGGCTTCCCACACTGCTTCACCTTCACAATTTCACACAATGGCTTCTCTGGGCTTCCATGCATGTACACCCTGACACATGCCTGGCCTCAGTGGCTTTCCTTAGTCTTGGAGGGAGATTTCAGAACCGCTTTCTTGTGACTCTAAAGCTAGAACAACACGGCCAAAGCTACCAAGCTCTACTTTGATGGGGCTGGAATTGGGCCTCCTTGTTCAATTACATTTTTACATTTGTATCAGCTTTGTGTTTTGATAATTTCCTTCAGTTCGTAAGCTTTTCTTTAATTCCTCTTCACAAGTTGGAAGCTTAGCTAGATGGGGTCTTACCCTGAGTTCACTATTCCCTTCATTCCATTTAGCATCAAGCTTTACTTTGAACTTTTTATCTCCTTGAGCACTCGACTGAGTTCATTACACTTCCTGGTGCTCCTTTTCTCCACAAACCATACACTTTGTATTTTGCTTTGTCCAACCTGCGCCTTTTCATTATAGATCTGAATAAGAGTGACCACTAATAACCACGTGACACAGTAAAAACTAGGCTGTCCTAAAATCTCCTTCGATGCCATTGAATCACAACTCA